TGTTGAGCAGGAATCTAGCGGGGTGACGGTGGGATCATCAGAATCTGTATGACACACAGTTACTTAGTTTTATTATGTTTTTGAAAATTGCCTTTGTGTCTGTGGCAACTGTTGGATAAAATCAGTCACAAGAGAAAAGACATGACGGCTACAGTCAGATATTCAACAGCGACAAGCAATAACCGAGAGCAGCAAGCTCATATCGCGGAGCTTTACCAGAAGATCTGAAGGATTAGTGGGCATGGGAGGTCTGCTCGGGCGATGACCTGAACTTATATCCACCATAGCGCGGTGTAATGCATCACTGAGGATTCTTTCTCCTCATCAAGCATTGTCGTTGTTGACTCACAATCTCTCTGGACAGTTTCAATTTTCCTCTTATTTACTGCAGATTGTGCTAAAATCAGAACATTAGATCACTCTCTCCAAGTGGAGCACATGTCCTCTTTTTGTCATCAATTACTCTCCCTGGAGATTTATATTTAGCTACAGCAACACTGCAATCTCTGTTAAGTAGGTGTACAGCAGTTTCACCAAGGTCTTTCTTTTCTATGGAGAAAGCTTTCTTCAGCACTCTTCTCTGCAGATGTGTTTTAAGGACCCATTCAACCACAACTTCAAAAGCTCGTATCCACACACTGAGACTTGCAGTTTCAAGACACAAATGAACCACAATGGAAACGATGCCTCAATGTGCTAATTCTCTTGTTTTGTCTCGACGGTTTGTTTTAGTTCAAACAAGGCCAAGTGTCAAATGTCATAGAGGAGGCATAATAAGCGTTGACTTTTCTGCCCGTTGAAGCCATTATTTTGGTCATTTATAGACAAAACTGAAATCTATTAAAACATCACGGCAGCGTGGACATCAGTCGATAACCACATCGTTATTATTTATTTATGCACATTTTGAACAGGTTTCGTTCCATTGGTTTTTCTCATTCGCTATGATACCGAGGCCTTTCATGCCGTTTAGTGACGTTAAGTGTGCAACAAAGTCATTGATCAAAAGAATATAGGAACAAGCTGTCCAATTGAAAGGCTTTTTCTTCATAAATTTTTTTTTTTTTAATGTGATGCTAATTATTCTTGCTCCTCAGTATCCAGATGATTAAGTGTGCAGGCTCCACCGTTCAAACAAAAATATTGAAACAGCTTTTGAGTTTGTGAGCATCAAAAAACAATACTATATGCAAATGTTGAACCCACCCACCCGCGCCCTCTGCAGGGTCACACCAGGGCTGCAGCCTCCAGTCTGGCCTAAAGCAGTTTAATGTGTTCTGTGCATTGACTAAAAGCCATCAGAAAAAAAATGTATGGACTCCAAAATGAACATAAGATGAAAAGGCAGAGAGCAAGAAGAGAGCACACAGTAGAGTGGTGAAAGGTTAGTAAGGATGGAGTAATTTTTCTCAATAATACATCAGTCTATGATAGTAAAGGTCAGCCAAAGTGTAGCATTAGTCAGTTTGTTAAAGGTCTTGAACTACCGGCTTCAGAGCTGCTCTTTCAACAATAATAAAATCTCCCTCTGTTTCTTTATGAGCTTGGTATTTGACTTCTCAGGCTGCATCAGACGCTAAAAGCAGGTCCTTTCTTTCTTTCAGTCACTTACAATCAAGCCAGCGGTTTCGTTCGACTCTTTATACGCTTTAAACTAAGACAGGTCAATAATATGCCACTGGCAGGAGTATGTGAAGAGTCGGATTGAATAGCAGAGATGAATCTGTGCAGATTACCTTGAAACCATTTGCCGTAGCTGCTCAGCTAATGGCTCACAGGTGCAGAGAAATGTCACATCGCCTCTAGTCATTTAGGTATCATCCTTTACCTTTATGAAATGGCCTTTCCTATTGTACAAATCCACGTGGCTAATAATGGCCCTTTGTATGTATCATGATCATACACCCTCTTCTTAGTGATCCTAACCATGGGCTCACTTCAGCGCTCTGCAGCTGTTAAACCTGTTGGTGTGAAATACGAGAAGCAGCATCAGAAGTGCGCTGATGAGCTCCGTGTTGTGTGAGTCAGACTCATTTTCGATGTGCCTCTAGTGTGCATTGCATGTGAACAGCAAACTGCCACCAACATGAAACAGACCAGAGTGAATGCACTGAAGAGTGGCAAATACTGAAGTAGTAGTTTGGGAATTAAATGATTTAATTTCCACTTGAAACTGAAATTTGGAGTTTGTTGTGCTTTCTCATGTGTTTTCTCTTTGGCCTTCAGCTCCTCTTGTTTCCACACAGATCAGAGACTCAGAGTTAGAGGTGTTCGTCAGTTAGAAGATTATTTTCCTGTTTCCTGTTGGTATTACTCCCTTCAAGTCTCGCATCCCTTTTGAAGCCATGTCAGATTTTTTATTTTTTTTTAAAACATTGTTTAGTTGTGGCTGCAAGGTGGTGCAGTTGATTAGCATCGTTGCCTCGCAGCAAGAAGGTCGCCGGCTCGCGTCCCGGTGAGGGCACCGGGATCTTTCTACGTAGAGTTTGCATGTTCTCCCCGTGCAGCGTGGGTTCTCTCCGGGTTCTCCAGCTTCCTTCCACACGGTCCAAAAACATGTTGAGGTTAATTGGTGATTCTAAATTGTCCGTAGGTGTGAATGTGAGTGTGCTTGGTTGTCTGTCTCTCAGTGTAGCCCTGTGATAGACTGGTGACCTGTCCAGGGTGTCCCCTGCCTTCACCCTGAGTCAGCTGGGATAGACTCCAGCCCCCCATGACCCTAGTGAGGATTAAGCGGTGTATAGAAAATGGATGGATGGATGGATTGTTTAGTTGCCCGTTAGTGTCAATATTGTATATAATGATGGACACAGCAAGCAGTGACGCCACCATTGGTTTGCGCTGGATCCACATTGAGAATGACTTTATAGTTGGTGGCATTTTTAGCGTTTGGAGTCACAAACCTTCCCAATGTGGAAGTAGAGAGAGTCTCCACTGAAATCTGAATGGAGCATAAACAGTATAGAACATTATACGAGCTAACATGTACAGTGCATTCTACACATTCTGCCTAGTTCTAAAATTGCATGCAAAGTGCGTTAAAATTCAAGAAATGTTTGGATATTTGGAAAATTTTTGAGGATCTATTTGTCGAATTAATGGGAGAACAAACCAGTGAAACAAAACCTGATCAAAACAAGCGAGCAAACAGCAAAACTGTCTGTGGGAGACAAAAAAAAAACACCTAATTTCCACTTAATTACATAATAATCTTCTAAACCAACACCAGCACACTAATCAGTGTAACTGAATTTGTCCAATGGCATCATAATGACTTACAGAAAAATGTATTGTCTCTAATTTTTCATGTGAGAGATTTAAACTTCTTGAATGGACGTCTGCTGGAGGTTTCTCGGAGCCAGCACCCAACAACGCTGATGATTTTGACTTATTTACTAAAACTTTTAAGTGGCAGGACCTCAAAGAACCCTAAAATATATTTTTTCCTCAATCAGCTATGAGTTGTCCAGTGTTCAACTAGAGATGAATAATAACTATGATTTTCTTGCCGTATGTATTTTTGTATTCCAGAGGAACACTTTGAGACCATGTTTTCAGGAGCTTTAAATTATAAGGTCCATTGATTGCTGAATTTCTCTGAAATGACTACCACATAATAGACTTCTCATTCATTTCCTCCCACTAGAAAATAACATCTGAGATATTATGCATCTTATACCTTGAACTTTGACAGGGAGAGCTGTTTAATCATTTCCATGAATGCACAAAAAACCCTTTCAGGCTTATCTGTTCATCCATTATTGAGTTTGTTTGCTCGGCTCAGCGTGATCTCTCTCAGAAATTACTTCCTAATCCTTAAATGATCTGCACACTTTCAGGGGAGTAGGTTGTGTTAAAATCTCTCCTGAAAATGTCATTGATCATAGTTAGAATCTGTGTGCGAATGATTTTGCAGATAAGGGTTTCTGCTTGACACATGCTATAGAAAATAGTGTTTTCAGTAGACACACAGTCAATGTAATGTCTTTTCCACTGCTGTACTTCTCATTCTCATTTTTCTTGGGATCGCAATCCACCCTCTATGCCTTTCAATTAACAGATGAATTCATTCGGTTTCACGTGACTGCACAAGCTGTTATTTCTGCTCCTGTATGTTATTGTTGTGACACAGTCATATGTAGGTGATGTTGTTTCCATGGCGTCCGCATCAGTTCCACATCAGCTGTGACCAAGAATAGCCAAAAGTTTAAGTGAGGTTCTTTTGTCGTCTCACCGCAGGATGCTCTACAATCTAATCCCACGGTTCCTCCTCCCTTGAATGCATCATCCTCAGGTAGACAGACAAGCAGATATCACCCCACAAAGTTGTAATTTTTGACTTGGAGAAGAGTGGACAGGGAGGGAGGTGTAAATGAAATGAAACCAGTGGTGAAGCCGCCGAGTATGAAGGGAGGCCACTTCACCAATTAATAGAGGTCGCAGTGGTGATAATAGCCCTGTGCTAGACTGGTGACCTGTCCAGGGTGTCCCCTGCCTTCACCCTAAGTCAGCTGGGATAGACTCCAGCCCCCCACGACCCTAGTGAGGATTGAGCGGTGTATAGATAATGGATGGATGGATGGATGGATACTAGTCTACTTCTTTAACCTCTGGGCGACCTACCTCCCAAGTCGCTCAACGATTGTTTCTACCAGACCACTCTAATAAAGCCTAAAATATGATATATAAAGCCAGCTTTGTAGGTGACTGAGTCTATTGTACTTGCATATATACAAAAACCAGGGAGGTTTACATGCCTGTTATTGCAAAAGTGATTTGGTAATTAGCAACCTTACCTGTATTTTATTGATGGAATTGAATTAGCATTTTATTTTAATCAACATTTGAATAACTGGAATACAGATAGTAAACGCTTTGAACTTTGGTTCTTTCAAGTTATCGGAATAATTTGCAATCACTACTTGTTTGTGTGACGATGGCACCTGGTGAACTTTTCATTTCTCTCTCCGTTTTAAACACATAACTGAAGCAAATTCTGAAAACATTTCACCCATAAGTGTTGTGTTTACCTAAACCGTTGAAGGTTGAAAATGCTGATTTTTTTTCCCATTGCTGCCTTAAAGACTGCAGCACTATGTAGCTTTTGTTCACATTTCTATTAATCGTTTATGTCAATTATGTAAAATACCATCACAGAAAAGGGTGATGATGTGAATGTTACACATTCTTTAAACACCAGTGTGTAAACAGCATAGGTAGATTGAAGTTTAAATACAAGCATGATTAGTAATTTTGTGGATTTCTTTGTCATTATTTTCTAGTAAATATGGTGTGAAGTGGAATTTGTTTATTGATTTATTTATTTTTTGGGGGGAACTGAGCTCATCCAGGGAAATTTTTATGTGCTTGATCATGATAAAATGAAGGTTGTTTTATTCAGGGCTTTGCTTTCAGATTTGGTGTCTCTTTTTTCAGTTTGAGCTTTCATAACAGTAACTTCTATTTTTGTAAATATTGGCTGTGGTGAGACGTCCCACTCGATTAGGTTTTAATGTTATTTCAGATGAAAAGCTCATCCAAAGAAAAGAAAATGTATGTTGTTGATATTATTGAAATCTGTATGGAGGATTTTTCAGGGCTGCAAGGTGGTGCAGTTGGTAGCACTGTTGCCTCGCAGCAAGAAGGTCGCCAGTTCACCTCCTGGTGGGGGCACCGGGATCTTTCCGTGTGGAGTTTGCATGTTCTCCCCGTGCAGCGTGGGTTCTCTCCAGGTCCTCGACTTCCCCCCTAAAGGTCCCAAAACATGTTGAGGTTCATTGGGGATTCTAAATAGTCCGTAGGTGTGAATGTGAGTGTGCTTGGTTGTCTGTCTCTAAGTGTAGCCCTGTGATAGACTGGCGACTTGTCCAGGGTGTCCCCTGCCTAGGCTCCAGCCCCCCGCGACCCTCTTGTGGATTAAGCGGTGTATAGATGATGGATGGATGGATGGGATAATCATGTGCCCTCCACTGACACAAATCATAGGGTGGCAGTAAACTGAGCCGGCCAGACCTTTGTAATCGGCTCTTTGCCTGACACCAGCGGCTCATTGCTATTCTTGCTGCTATTAGGATAGCACGCTCACATGTCAGACAACTGCCGGTGTTTGAGTTGCATTTTAGATAATGTAGGCGACTTATTTGGACTGAACGAATGCATGAAATTAAAAGAAAGCTCTCTTGCATTGCTTCACTGAACATCTTCAACAACTGTCCAGCAGTGCTATAGGAGTGCAATGCTAACTCAGGGAAGCACTCTTATGTGTCCTTTGGCCCCAGTTCACTGAATGCCTCATAAATGACCATCCTTTGTTGGACTGTTTTGTTTTTTAAGTGGTGAATCTGGGTATCGGGTCGTAGGTAACATTAGTTTTTGGGTTAAAATTCTTAAAGAGGGGTGGGGTCATTTAGATATTTGTATTGCTGTCTTTGCTTCATTCTGTGGAGTGATGTTTAAAGCACCATAGCTTGAGAAGTAATGTAGCTAGACTCCTGGAACTTGGCAGGTTCATTGATATGTTCATGTGGTCTTCAGTGGTACAACCCTGCTTTGGTAGAATTATACAAACCATGGTGTGATGGGGTCGTTTTCAAATAATTTCAATGATTCTGTCTGTGAAAATTCCACCAACCATAAAACCTTTTTTTTTTCACCCTAAGAGGCTGATTTTTTTTAATCTCCTGTGATTGGCACCAATAGGAGCTTTAAAAGTGTAGAGATTCCCCAGCTTTTTTAAAATTTGGTAATTTGATGTGGAAATACCTTTCTTCCTTTGATCCCTCTTCTCTTACACTTTATCTCTCTGTCTCACAGGTTCCACAAGTTCATCGATGTCAGACCACTGGCTTATCAGGCTGACCGGGGACAGTAAGAGAGGCAGCCTGGTGTCTCGTTCTTCCACCACCTGCCCGTCTTCCATACCCGACTCTCCAGAGTCTCCAGTCTTCCTTGACAATGGCTTTAAAGAGGAAAGAGGTAAAGCTCCCCCTCCAGGATCTAATCTGATTAGTGGCTTATGAATGATTGACTCCTCGATCTTGCATTTATATACACCAACTGATGTATTTTTCCTCTCTACATGATCATCAGGGGGCTTTGAAAGCAGACCATTCATCAGGGGTCTTCAGGGGCGCAGTGTGAGCATGAGAGCCCCCAGCAAGACCAAGGACACCCTGAGCAAAGTGCTTCCCTTACGCTGGTCATTTGGTTCCAAGGACAGACGAAAACCTGACCCAGTGCCTCCCCCGGTCCAGGATCCAGCCCCTGCCGAGCTGGTACAATACCTGGAATCCGGCCGACGACCCCGATGCACAAAGGATTCAATAGTAACACTGATGAATGAACCACGTGGCACAAAGGAAGCTGCTGAGGGCCGCGCTGCAGCCGATGTTCGATCTTCCAACGCTGGGAGTATGAGTTGCGTCGGCAAGGCGGAAGATGATCTGCCGTTTCCACAGGTGCCTGAGGGCCAGAGGAGGTCTTCAGATAAGACGGCCAGTCTGAGACGCAACAAGGGGAACCAGTCAAGAGAAGAGAGCACATCGAATATCACCAGTAGCTCTAGCAGTAACACCCTCACAAGAAGGAAGGAAGCCAGGAAGCAGAGCTCCTCCAAGTCTTCCCAGGATACTGAGGCAAAACAGAGTTCCCGTTCTGGAGTTCAGCCCAGCTACAGTACACCCAGCCTTCATGATGGGACCCTGAGAAGACAAAAGGGGGACAGGGCTGATAAGCCACACCACGGTACATATGAAGAAAACTCGAAGGCCAAGAAAGGAGAAGTGCCCAAGAACCATGAGGGACTGCTGTCTTTCTTTAAGGGTAACTTCCTGAAGAAGGATAAAGACCCCAGGAAGTCGAGGGAGGGTGAATCAGGGAGAGGAGGGGCTGAGGAAGGAGGCAGAAGGACCTTGTCCAGGCTGTCGCTGTCTAACGGAGCAGCAGGAGGCAGAACTGGAGTGGAAGGAGGCAAGTCCAACGGTTCAAGCCATCTGGCTGATGAGCTGGCGAACGGGAAAGTGGGTCGCACCACGGCTGACATTAAACGCTCCCAGAGCTCCTCCAACATCCCCACCAAAGCGGAGCAGAGCATGCGCAGGACAGCGTCTCTGCATCGCAATGGGATGTCTACAACCCCGGCTCCGTCACGCAGCCTGACGACAGACAAACCATCTTATGGCACACTGCAGAGGACTCGCTACAGCACAACCTCACTGGGACGCAAAAGGACAGTCCCCGAGTCCAGCTTCTGATACAGCATAAGACATCCACACACACATGAAGCCTTTTACCTAATGTACAGTGAACGACATCCAGTGTCTGAGATCAAAGCAATAGAGCTCCATTCACAGTTATGCGCCTTTTTGTTCCCGGAAAATCAACCGAGTGGTTTGTGCCATGGAGTCGATAACGAACGAAGGGTCCTCTAATCCTAATGAAGTGATGTGACCTGTCTGTCAAATGTCAAAGGGAGTCTATCTCTGTTCTGTTTTTTAATGACCTGAAAACAAGTGCCTGAGCAACGAATATGCAGTTTACACCAATGAGTTTATGTCTGTTTAGCACTGGAAGCACCCAAATACACACACTTGCAAACACACTTTACGCATTTGTGTCTTACTGATGTAACACGAGTGTTGGGAGTCGTCACTCTGTTTTGAACTCACGGGTGTTGCTTACAATTAAGACACATGGATTGTGTTAATTTATCAGAATGTATTGTGTCCACTTGTGATAACGATGGCGCTTTGAGGCTGCAGTTTCTAATTAACATTGACTTTTCCTTTTTAACCTTGTGTTTAATGTCAATTTAAATGATGAAAGATGACAGATTTAAACACAAGGCAATTTTATATAAAGCATTATTTTGTCCCCACTTGAATTCAGACTGCAGTTTTTGTCTATTTAGTGATAATCGCTGAGACCAACGGAGTTTAAAAGTGCATTTGTCTACTGTGAAGGGTAGAATAGAGTAAAATAGACCCTGAAAGAATGTTTTAGACCTTTTATTGTGAAGTCAGTCAACCACCCTGATTGGGTTTCATGTTTTTGTTCTTTTAATACTGTTGTAAAACCACTCCCACGTTTTTAATTAATGATTTTTATCTACTGCAGTGTTTAGCTATGTAAATGTGGTGGGCACAAATAGCAATGCAAATTTGTTTTCTTTTGTTTTCTTTATTCAGCATGCAGAATGTGGCTACATCACACGTTAGTGTCACCGAAGCTGGAAGAATAATTTGGTTTCTTCGTGCCTCTTTTTGGTGAATGTGCCTCCAAAGTGGCTTCTCTGTAAGATTAGTGGTTATTCTTTGATTGTGAGGGACTTTCACCAGAACGTGACATTCACTGATGGTGATTCTTGAAGTTTTTTTGTTGTTGTTTTTTTTTGCCATTAGGCTTTTTTGTAGCAGAAGCGGTGGATTTACAAGCCCAAAAATGACTACATTTTGCCAGAAAAAGAAAAATACTCCACAAAAGACCAAAAAAAAGGACACAGAAATGGCAGCATGTAGTCTCAGTGTGAGGATTTTTTTTATTTTATTATTTCTAGTGTGAATAATCCAGTCTATGGAAGGGGAATACAACACACATCACGGCATGTATTTAATCGTTATGTATGCATTTACCTTGTTTCTCGCAATACATTAACAGAAGCTAACTAATGAGCTGTCAACACTTATGTGTGTGGGTTTGTTTATCTTCTTCCACATTCCATGCCTTTAAATAGCAGCCACAATCTTACTTTGCATACATTTATATATTATGCTCTTTACTATGCAGGTCTTTTGGCTCCATTTTGCACCTCCGGTCAGACGCCTCACTGATTTACATTCTCTGCATGCTTGTGCAGTGACAATAAGGCTGGATCCAATCTAATCTAAAACAAATGCAAATAAACACAGTCCACTGGCCCTCAAGAGACTGCTTCAATCAGTTGTCAGAAAAAGATAACCTCTATTGTTTGTTTTGGCATGGACGGTCTCCAAAAAGAACAAAGCCTGCTTTTTTTTTTGCACATGCCCATGAAAACTAATGTCGAGGTTTTTGGCGTTCGGTAGTTTGGCAGACGACTGCGCTGTCTATGAGATGCCAGTGAAGTGGGATGCACTTCTTTTTCAGCATCGGGACTGAAAAGTCACACCGCAGTGAAAAACAATTCAGTTATTGAGCACACAATGATAAGTGTTGATCTTGTCAACACTTGTTTTTTTTTTTATTGTTGTGACAGTAAATGCATACATAAACATTCAATACGCAACATTTGATTTAGCCTTTTGTCTGTGAGTCTGGAATAATGAAGGTTTTGTTGTGCACTTTGATAACTTGTGAGTGTAGTTTCTGCTGTAATCTGTTATACTGGCTTATTTTTCAACATCAATATGCTTTATATTGTGACGCTCAGCTGACCACATGTAGGAAATACACAGTTAGAAGTGCTTTACTCTGCTGAGATATGTGGGGGTTTTTTGGAGTTTTTTTTTTTAATCATGTACTTTGTGCCATGATGTCTTTTAAGGCCCCTATTTGGGAAAAAAAAAAGAAGTAGTTGAACCCCATTATTTGCCTGTTGCTCACCAACATCACAGCACCGACCCCAGCAGGTGATAACTGAAACCCTACAATTTGAAATCAGTTATTTAGGATTGAATGGCGTCTCTGAAACAGCAGCTAAATACCGGTTGTAATATCCATTTATACAATCCATTTTGTCATGAAGTTTGTCCAGAACTGCATAACCTTCACCTTGTGCATTCTCTATGTGCAATCACTGTAATTACACAGCTTCTGTTTGTCATTTGCAGCCTTCAGACACAAAAATAGAAGTAAAAAAAGAAAAAAACATCCGATGCTGTCGAAGCACTCAGACGCTCTTCTTAATACTGTTCTTTTTGCTTTTAATTGTGAAAGTCCAACAACCCACACAGTTATTCGGTGTCTCAGAAATGTTTAAAAATAATAATGAATGGTAGATTTACAGAATATGAACTTGTGCGTCATGATTTTTTTTTTTTTAATTACTCTTTTTTTCTTTATTTGAGTTTGCTTGACGATCATTGCATGAATGAGTCAACCCCTATCGGAGATTAGAACAAGTCTGTGACATCACATTAGTGAAACGCTTTAAGATTTTGGAGTGGCACATCTGATGCTCATTAGGCATGGCGTTTTTTTGTGTGTTTTGTTTTTCTATCACATCGTCAACTCCGTCTTAATGTGAAGTAACCCCACCTGATCACTGTCACCAAGACGAACACACCAACAGTTAAAAGTTCCATTTGCTGCAGATGCTGTATTTTGTTTAAAGCTTGTCGTGATAGGGCTGGTCCGAATAGCAGCTTCTGTTCTCCAGATATTCCAATTAATGGCGAATATCCCGAATAGTTGGGAGGGGGTAGTGGGGGAGTATTCGATCAAAATTGATACCCTGATTCCAGCAAAGCCAATGAATAATCCGCTCTTCAGCTATTCAGGTCCAGCCCTACGTGATGCCTCCGTTACCAAGCAATACTGACAGTTTCACCGACAGCCCTTCGTATTATTGAACCTGAAAAGATATCATTACGATCAAACAGTTTTTCTCTTTTAGAAGCAGCTTTTCTATGCAGATCACCATCACCTGACTCATTGTGTCATTGTTCTGTTTAAAAGTTAAACACTGGAGCCAACGTTTTCTTACGCCAAGGACACAAGCTGCCGTTCCTGATCAACACTGACGCTGTAGAGCGATATGTACGTCTCTGGAAACGCTTTCTTTTATTTCAGAAGAGACACTTCGGTTGCATTTCAAAGTGTGATGAAGGTCTTGTTAGCGTGTGTTAATGTTTTGGTCTACTAAATTGCTAGGACTCCTTCAGATTTCCTTTCTGAGCTGGTTACCAATTTGGAGTTTTACTACATGATGAATGTGTTGCTCACAGTTGCAAATTTATCAAAAAAAAAAAAATCCCCCACAATGTAATTAGTGTCAAGAATCAGGGGGGGAAGCAGTGTTTGAATTCGCTTTGCCTTCAGCGTTATTCTCAGCAGCCGCCATGTTCGAAACCTTGCGTTAAGGCGTCTGAGATTTCACGGGAGTGGCATCATTGTTTCACAATGACTCACCCTGCAGACCAGAAAGACGACTTTGTTTTTGTGCGTTTTTATTGTTTTCATGTCTCCAAACAAAAAGAAATGTCATAAACAAGTACTTAACCTTGATATAGCCATTAGACATTGAATTTTTTCCAGAATGTTTCTATTTCTGTGGCAAATAAGTTTAAAAAAAGCATTTTTCAGACATTTCCAAAGCAGCATGAGCAAACACACAATTAAACCACAAAGTGGGAGGCCTGCTTTATTGATTTTGACTATTTATTGCCATTTGCCTGTCTTAGAGATTGATTCACAAAGACTGCCATTCGTAATCAAAGACACAAGTAGCACAAAAAAAAGGCCAAAATCACTGTAATCACGCAGCTGATAGAGCAGCACCGGAGCCTGAGATTTGTGCTCTTGCGTCCAACACAATAAAATATTCATAGGTCGTCTTTATAGCATTAAAAGATTGTGATTGTCCTGTCAGAGTAACAAAAGGAGCAGATTTGACAGAGAATCATTACAGATGCTGATAATTTCCATCTTTTCTGTAAGTTTTTCCAAGTCGCTGATATCTGCTATAGAACACCAAGTTAAAGTGCAGCTTCTTCTGTTTTCATTTACTTTTGTTTATCTCCTAAAACAAGGCAGTAGTGTTCAGGTTTGTTGTTTTTTAAATCAATGCCGAGGCAAAGACTTTAAAGGTGGACACAAGGTCTTCTGATTTTTCTTATCATGGCTCGTCCCACATGGGGCCGCATATACGCAGCGTTTACTCTGCCAAACTGAGCACTTCTGAGTTAACACGATATTTTTTGTTGGCAACGGGAATGAAGAAGTTTTTATATGCAATTTTTCTACATTTTCTAAAACAAATCTGTGTATATATTTGTGGATATGAACAGAAAGATGCGTGGGAGTGTGTGTGTGAGAGAGAGAAAACGAGTGAACAAATATGGCTGTCGATTGGGAACAAGATGTATCCAGATGACTCGCAATGTATTCCATTGTTTTGCATAAGGGTGTAACGAGTATGCTTCTACTGTAAAACTACAGTTTCTGCCTGAACTGTCTTCTGTATATGATGGTATATTATATATATATATACATACACATATATATATATTTGATATGTTATTTTTTTCAGCACAACAAATAAAAAAAGATGTTATTTATGATTATGGCCTTCAGTCAACAGCTTTTAAATGATTGATAAAAGACAATGATTTGAGAAATGTATAAAGGAAGATTTTATCAACAATGGACTAAAGTGTTTTTTGTTATTCAAATTAAGGGGGGGAAAAAAATCTCTCCCTCTCCGCTGATGCTGCCTTTCTCTCCATTCTCTGGACCTCAATGCAGCCTTTGACACTATCAATCACTCCATCCTACTCCCCCGATTACAATCCCTTCTCCACATCACTGGTGATGCCCTTGCCTGGCTAACTTCTTATCTTGCAGACCGTAAACAGTTCATCAATATCAATAACTGCTCTTCCTCTACTGCCCCCCCCTGCCCCAAGGTGTACCCCAGGGTTCGGTGCTTGGTCCTCTCCTTTTCATTCTCCACCTCCTCCCCCTTGGCCAGATCATTCGTCGTCATGGTCTCCATATCTATTGTTACGCCGATGACATCCAACTATACATATCCACTAAATCGGTCAACTCCTAAACCCATGCCACCCTCTCAAACTGCCTTACTGATGTTAATTTCTGGATGCAAACTAATTTTCTCAAACTTAACTCCAGTAAACCTGACATTCTCATCATTGGTCCTGATTCCCTCACCTCTACAGTTCAAGATTTCCATCTTTCATTCGATAACTCCTCCCTGTCACCCCATTCCCATAACCTAAGCGTCATTTTTGACACCAAACTCACCGTCACCCAACGCATAAATTCTGTCACTAAAACAGCCTTTCATCACCTAAAAAACATCGCCCGCCTCCACCGCTCTCATTCCATCCCTGCAGCAGAAACCCTCATCCACTCCTTCGTAACATCACACATTGACTACTGCAATAGCATCCTCTTCGATACCACCACCGACCTCCTCAATAGATCACAATACATCCAAAACTCTGCCGCCCGTCTCCACATCACCCCTGTTCTTCAAAACCTTCACTGGCATCCCATCCCATACTGCATCAATTTCAAAATCCTTCTACTCACCCATAAAGCGCTCCATAACCAGGCCCCCTCTTACCTCAAAGACATGCTCCACCCCTACACCCAACCTCTTGATCATTCCCAGGATCAACCACCGAACCTGGGGGGATAGGGCCTTCTCTGTCTCTGGAACTCTCTCCCACAACATATTGGAGCCACCTCAGACCCAGTAATATTCAAATCTAAATTAAAAACTCATCTGTTCTTCTAGGCCTAGGCTTTATCTTTCTGTTTAGTGTTGTAATACAAAAGTAGACGACATAGAAATACAGCAAGAAGATAAAACTTCTTGCTGTATTTCTATGTCGTCTACTTTTGTATTAGTTGCTTATTGCTTTTATTGCTTTTGTTCTGTGAAGCATCTTTGAGTTCTTGAAAAGCGCTATAGAAATAAAATGAATTATTATTTTTATTATTATTATTATTGAGGAGTTGTGGCTAAATTTTAAAAGAGGAGTTTTGTTTTTTTGTTTATCCAGTGCCAAAAGAGGGAGATCCGTGAGTTTTCTGCGCTACGACTCAACCTGAATTTAAATATCATGAGTAGGCGTCTGATTATGCAGCCTGATTCTCATCACTTTAGGATCTTAATCCACGAGTCAACTGAAGAGGGAGACAGGAAACGGGGAGTTAAGGGGGTTTATGACACAAAACTCCAGGTGGAAGTGAAGTGCGCTGATCATTAGGAGCATAAGATGTAAAAGTATTAATAGATGGAAGCACCTCAAGATTTTACTGAAGTGAGCACAAGTACATGTGCATGTCTGAGAGGGCCAAACCCATCAGTTTAATCAGCAGTGTATTGATCTGCAATCAGCCTTTTGAAAGTCATTTTTCCAGCTGGTTGCAGCTTCTCCCAGCTCCCCACAATGAATGATTTCCTGCTTTTCTTTATTAATATTAAACTAAACTGAAATTCCTCGGGTGCTACTCTGTTATTTGCTGCGTTAAAAGTTATTTTAAGAAGCAACTTTATGCTTTTGGAAAGTTCAACAGTCTTTTTTTTTTTTTTTTACCTATTTTATTATTCAAGGAAATAATTGGCATGTTAAACCTGCAGTAATTGAACACTCGCATGCCGTCTACTTTGAAGTTTGAAAGCTTGTGAGCCAGCTGCTGCTTATTTAATCATCAGTTAGTTCAGGGGCTTCAAGACTTAATTATCATTATTATTATGAAGCCCAAGATTTTACAACAAAATTAAATATGCAGTAAAAGATAGCTTAAAAAAAAGACAAAAATTATTGGAGGAATAAATAATAAAGTAATAAAATATGAAACGTTTTTTGTGGGGCTGCAGGGTGGTGCAGTTGGTAGCACTGTTGCCGGTTCGAGTCCCGGTGAGGACACCCGGGATCTTTCTTCGTGGAGTTTGCATGTTCTCCCTGTGCAGCGTGGGTTCTCTCCGGGTTCTCCGGCTTCCTCCCACACAGTCCAAAAACATGTTGAGGTTAATTGGTGATTCTAAATTGTCCGTAGGTGTGAATGTGAGTGTGCTTGGTTGTCTGTCTCTAAGTGTAGCCCTGTGATAGACTGGTGACCTGTCCAGGTGAACCTGCCTTCACCCTGAGTCAGCTGGGATAGACTCCAGCCCCCCATGACCCTGGTGAGGATGAAGCGGTGTATAGATAATGGATGGATGGACATTTTTTGTGATTAAATGTGCAGAATGCTTAAAAGTCTGGCAGTGCAGCAGCGGCTACTGATTGCCAGACGGCAGCAGGATGTGACTGCTGTCTTTAAGTGTGCTTTGGGCTCCACAGAGTTTCTTCATCTCCCCGGTATCAATGATTCAAGCTGGATGTTCTGAGTGGTTTTAATCACCTGCTGCAGAGACTTCCTGCCTCGGGCCGTGCATATCCCAACACCAGTTAAAGATGCTTCCTGTTGCTCCTCTGTACAAGTTTGCAAGAACTTTTCAGGAATTTAACCTTGTTCTTTAAGAAGTGCCACCATTTCTGAGCTTTCATCACCACAATGTAGATGTGTGACGACCATGGAAGGTTGTATTAACTCAGTTCTAAGTTACTCAGATAGCGCCCATTCACAACATCGTGAGTCACATCAGTGCACTTCAAAAAGTAAGATCAAAACCTTACAACAACGATTCCCACTAACAACCTAATACCGTTCACCTGCTCTGCTCCAGACAGGAGTGGGTGTTTTGGCTTCTGTTTTTGTCAAATCAATAATCTTGGTTTTGCTGACATTGAGCAATGGGTTTCTTTCTGTGCAGTGAAAAGTATTCATTTAGAGTTTTGTTCCAGGGCATTTGACTCGCATAGGCACCGACATTAGCACACTTTTAGCTCTGTTTTAGATCTTTACGGACTCCCGAGGGAAATATGTGGCCAATTACTGTGTCGATTTGCCCTTTGATGCTGTGGAAGTAGCGCGCAGTGGGGGGTTATATTTTTTTAGAAATCTCTTTTTTTATTGTTATTGAAAGTAGCTGCCTGCTTGGAGAGGAAACGTAAAATGTACAAGATAGACGTAAGAATGACGGGAACGTTTCTATAAAGGTCTGTTGAGCTGATGGAAGCTGCAGATTGATGTGTTTGTTCATTAAGGATTCATGGAAATGAAAGAACGTTCTCGGTGCAATCATGTTTGGACGCCGTCACGAGAATTTTTATTGTGAACGTATCAGCTGTGTACCATTAAGTCAATCAATTCAAACAGCGTTCAGTTATTGTCTGAACTCTGGCTTTGTTCTGACAGCACTCATCTGCATTGTTTCATGTTACAAACTGACTCCAATTAACTTTTACTGTCCTCAGTTGTTGCAAACAATTAAAACACAGTGTGTCGAGTATGTATACAGGAATAAGGATGTAGAAATTGGAGCCCTCCGTATGAGAAAAACGCAGCATCACTGCCACCAGGGGAGGACAATATCCCCCCATACAGACACACATAATGTTTAATCTGTTGCTGCAGCTCAGATCAGCCGAGATGAAGATTGGTGTCGAGGTTAGCCAGCAGAAGGAAGGAGCTTAGAGCTGAGGGTGGGAGTGAAGCGACGTCAGCTCTGAAGCTTTAGTGCTGGAGACACACAGTCCTGATAAAAACAGAACCGTAGCCTGTCGTCACACAGTATGCAGATCTTTGCTGAGCTGCTGTTTGTCTTTAATTATCGCTTACAATGGGATAGGTGAGGCTTTCTTTCTGTGGTTCGCGGTTTCCTTTTCTTTTTAATTAAGCCAGTGTTATACTGCCAGACAGTCTGGTCGGTGCAGAAGAACTGCAGGAGAGTATGGAAGTAGATTCTTATACATTTATCCTTATATGGTCCCCAAAGTGCTGCAGTCTCACAGCTGTTAGTTTGTCAACAAC